CGAGCTGCCTGGCAAGGAGCTGTACATCTTCCCTGGCAGTAAGTGTCGTTGGCCCTTCTTGATCGTGCGGATTCTGATGCTCCTGATGCGGTGTGTGTCGAAGACTCTCCCTCTCCCGATGCTCAAGCGGTAGAGGACCCATATGGACAGGTGCCAAATCCATTCACGTTCAAGATGTCGAATATGTCGACGACACCGCTTGCCGGGGGTTCAGTCAAGATCGTCGATTCGCGTACATTCCCGGCTGCGACGGCGATTGCCGTGGCTGAGGTAACTGTCGAGCCTGGAGGAATGCGGTACGTCTTGTTTACCGCCTTCGCTGATCCACTTTTCTGACGCAATTACAGGGAGCTCCACGTAAGCCTTGGATGAATCCATGTTAAAGATCGATGTCTGATGGAATTGATGCACAGTGGCACCCGACTGAGGATGAATGGACCTATTTTCTGTGAGTGTCTGCTTCGTCGGTGTAGGTAAACTGGAACTCATCTAGCATCAGCTCTGGGACGGCCAGGGTGACAGAATTCGCGTCGAGTAGCACTGCTCAGACATTTGACTTCCAGGTATGCCATAATCCTCTTATCACACGTCTGTTGCGGACTATCTAATCTTCGTGATGTAGGCCGGAGATGTTGGGTTCGTCCCGGCCACGTACGGTATGTGTCTCAGTCTCTGGCCTGTTTCCAGGCTGTGCTCATCAGACTCCACTGCTAGGACACTATGTTGAGAATACCGGGAACGACACACTGAAGTTCCTCGAGATCTTCAATACCGGTGCGTCGAAGCGTGATTTGTCTGTAAGAACTCTAGACGATCTTTTGTATACAGATATTTTCCAAGACGTCAGTCTTGCTCAGGTACGTGCCACTTGTTCTCTCAGTTCTTGGCATTGAGGCTGACCGTGACTTGTTGTCCTCGCAGTGGCTCGCATTGATACCGCCGCAGCTTGTACAGGCGCACTTGCAAATCTCGAATGAGACTATTGCAGGGTTCAACAAGACCAAGCAAGTTGTCGTCGGACCCAACTGATCGCGGATTATTTCCGATATAGAGTGTACAACAGCTGTTCTTCTAGTACGACTATATGGTATAGCTTAGTAGCCTTCCTATAATCTGGTTTGTTCCTTACTGTACATTTGTTTTGCAATATACAACAAAAATCATGTCCCTGATGCTCAAAATACAGAGGTGCCAATGAGGAGATCGTGTCAGGAGAGAAACGAGAAACATAGCCCGAAAGTACATCCCGTCTGGTGAACCGCGCGTTGAAGCAGGCAGCCGAGTCGTATGGAATTGCGTGGGATTGAGTGAAGATGGACAAGAGGATTAAGTATCACATCTGCAGAAGAAAAAAGAGGCAGCCGGGTCAAACATGTCGCATGCGGAAATGCCAAAAATGGATCATGTCGGATGCCGGCAGAGTGAGACAAACGCTAAAGTCAATCGCGTCGTATACAGTAACCCACACGAAAAATACTAGTCCAAGAATTGGTCGCATCGTTGGTCGCGTGTTGGCCGCACATCGAATAACTTAAGCAACATGACTCAATGTCGTTGCATGCGGGAATGCCAGGTGGAAGCCAGCATAAACAGGTCGTATACGGAAGTGCCAGCGAGATAGAGAGGATGGACAAAGACGGTCCAAGAGTATATTGCATCAGCCTAATTAGACGAACCGCGCATAGGGAGCAGCCGAGTCGAACATGTCGGCTAGTACAGAAGCGCCAATAATTGTGTTGAAAGAGCCACACGCTGAGAGGAGCAGCCGCGCGGAACATATCATATCCGGAAGTGCCAACAAGGACGAGCACGAAGGACAATAGTGCCGAAAGAATAAGGCATGAACCCCCCAAAAAGAACGATTGAAGAGCGCACTTTGGTGGATACCAACGAATGCTATCGTGCGGTACTACCGGTTATTTGCTTGTTCGAAGTACAATACATAGCCTGCTTGATGACGAAGACACGGGGCGAGACTTACAGCCTATTGAGGCTGGCTCGGAGCATAGTATAGGCGGTGCGCGACGACAGCGGGGTCAACGACTATAATCATGCATCTCCACAACTACCAATGACATCAGATTCAAACATGCTGTGTCGCAGGGAAACAGAAGGACACTTGATAATCAGAAACATAACGACTGCAGGGTCTGCAGATATCCGTGAGGGACCGTGTTCAGCACATCTATAGTCACCACAAGATAAAGAGTTTGATTGCGTAAATTACATGAGCAAGGCAATAGGCCCTAGAAAGAAACACGATTGAATAGGCGTCAACCTATCGGACCGATCAGGTAACTCTAAAATCGAAGTATCAGCAGAATGCCACCCATTAAGGTATGCAAACCTTACCGCTCCTTGAGCTTATTCACATGCGGCTCCTGTACTGAAAGACAGTCCACAGCAATCCACGAAGCTAATCTGATTTTGTGTCGCACAGCCGGCACTATCGACGTTACCGCCGGCTTGCGAGCAGCAATCACCGGTGGCGTTCCAGTCAATCTCGGTAGGATTTTCAAGAACAGAGCATTGACAAGTGGCGTCTGCGCGAGCAGCAAGAGAACTGTGTATATGGCAGCAATATTTAGGATGGTCATGGCTAGCAACAGAGGTAGATGATTTTTGCTGAGGACTCACCCCGGGAGAGCTACAACACCAGCAGAAACGGCGCCGGAAAGCATGACAGCGAGCACCAATGATGAGAGGATGCGGGAAATCATAGTTATCGATGCTGCTTTGAATTCGAGGACTGAGGAGGCTAGGGCAATGGAGACCTGGATCACTTCGACCTGGTATTTATGCTGGCCGGTACGTCAGCATGTATAATCGTTCGACACACAAGCAGGTGTATTTTAGGGACATTGGTCGAGTGGAACCTGCCAGCGCCACTATCATTCGCCTATGACACAGCTTCTATAACTTGTCTGGGACCATTCATGGTGTGGCGAACACGATTGACGGACCTGCCGCCGAGCCTGAGGAATGTTTTCAGCGGTGCCATTTGGTCAACAATGACTTCCAGAGTTATGCATGACCATTGGAGTCGATCTCGCATCTATAGCCTCACATTCGTGAAAGGTATAACAAGCACAAGGATGCACCGCAGTCGAGTATATCTGGCCTAAAGCGAAGTACGTGAACTCCAGGCAGGATGGGAAGCCATCAGATGCAGCGGATTTTCGAATGAATCCATAGACCTTACCTAAAGTAGTATACAACGTAAAATGCCTCTCTTGGTCGCTTGTAGATCTGCTTAAGCAGGTCTTACGGAGGGACGGGCTTCTTGTTACAAACGTAGAACAAGCACTTGAGCGAACTCAGTGACCGTCCTCTCATACAAAAGGTCGGATTTGGAAAGCAAACATGACATCTCAGATGTACAATGGAATTCTCCTCAGGAGAGTTCCACCGTACACATAAACGATAGTGAAGATGGCTTCCCAAGGGGGCGCGCTATCTCAGGGTGCTGCGACATTGTTCCCAGAGATCCAGAGGGATTGAATGAAGGGGCGGAGTTGATCCAAATCTTGCAGGTGACAGTTGTACGATAGATTGAACGAGCAACAATTTTATGAGAAACAGCGTGTAATATAGCACACTCCACAGGCTTCAGGTAAGCACATAGGGCAGTAAGTGAAGGAGTGAGACAGTCGCAAGTCTGGCTTGGTTGACTTAAACTTCCAAGTTCAAAAGAATCACGACCGCGTGATGTGTATACGCCGTTGGCCGCGACTGGGGGTCGACTTCATTCTCGATCGCGACCGGACGTCGTTCAACATCTAGTTGCACTGTCAGAACAGCATGGAGTGGGTATGCAAATTTGAGAATACGGTCTTCTAACTCGCTTTCTACCCCGGACTGAGTAGTACAGCCTATGAAGTCGTTGAACCATTATGTCCAGCAAGGGAATGAGATATTCGGGGCGGGGACCACTCTGCTCCAAAGTTCAGATATCGTGCGTAAGTGATCTCAAATTACAAGCGCGTATTTAATGAGTGTAGCACAACAGGAGATAGCTTGTTGTTCGAAGAAAGGATTGTGGATTCTGTATACGAACTACAGCTCTGCATGAACGCAAATGAAGCTAAAGAACGTGAAGGATGAAAGTAGGGAGATTGCGCTTGTATCACACGCCTATGGAGAGTAGGTGAGCAGACCTAAACAACTATCATGATGCATATAAAAGACACCTACTTTAGTAACATGCGCCATTCTCTTCATAATATCCACATGCCAAGATGAACCCACTGGTGTCGTCCGTCAAGCATCCGGATGCAGTAGTTGTGCCGCCGACGTCTGCACAGGAGGCGGCGGTTGTATTCGAGTCATACTCTAAGGTCTCAATATTCTGGCATTGACAACTGGGCGTTGTACGGGCTTCGAGAGACCTGTTATGATTACCATCGCAATCCAACATGGTTGAGATAAACAAGAAAGCTGTGACACAAAGAGCAAGGACATACTCTGATCGAGCCCTGATGCTAGCGGACAACGCTCCAGATGCGAAGAGCAAAGCCGCGAGAGCGAAGACACGGGCTACCATAATGTCTGGAGCTACTGTTGGGCGAGTAGGAGACCGACTGTTGGAGTGAGATTATATCCCAAGGGATTTTATACGAAAGACCATCACAGCTGCTCAAATTCGTTATGATGAATGTATGGAGGAATGGGACAGACGTGGGAAGGAACTCGCCTAGCAACAGTTATTTACGCCACTGAAAAACCCCTATGGTACGACTAGCAAAAGACTTGCGAGGATAGCTGTCCTTTTCATATTGTCTCCGAACCTCGAGTCTTAGCCGAAACCACCGCTTCCAACATGATTGGGTGATACAGTCCAGAATCTTCTATCCAGCCATTCTGGAATCAGAGATGTGGGTTCGAAGCTCCTCCCTCTTGCATCGCGATGTCATATGGACGTAGGGCGGAGTTCTGCAGTATCATTTGATGTCAAACCTGCCTACGGATATTAGAGGACTGCATGCACCATCTAACGAGATTGATACGATTCCAACCATTTCGGACAGGGACAACTTGTTTTCGCAAGCAAATATGAGAACTGCGAACACGTAAGTCCGAAAAGGCCTACTTTAAACAAACATACCGTGTCCAGTTCAGGTGTATCACCTGGCAGACGACGGTAGCAGATCCGAGTATGTCCTGCATGTCGTTCTAACAGGGAAGCTGTCTCTTCATACCGCCATCGACCAATTGCAGAACGCCGTCAAGCTGAACTCCGTGCGCTGACCCGCTTTACCTCCGAGGGTCTTCGATGATAGGCATGGCCGGAAGGCGTGAGCGAAGACGCAGATACCTATGACTATATCATGCGTTGATCACAGTTCACATTAAGTGAGGCTTCAAACTTCAAACCGCGAGCAGGCCAAGCATATCTATCAAGTATACGCGGATGAGTTAACCGAAGATTTATCTTCAGATGACGGCAGCATAGGCGTCCTAAGGTCGTATCGTACGATTCCAGTGGAGCGAATGAACAGGGCTCGATCTAGGCAATACTCACCAGTGTAATCTGACGAAATGTACATACGCCGTAAACTAGATGAGGCCTTCAGGGAAGTGACCAAAGGTTGACACAAAGACTCGCGAGGGCAATAAATTAAAACTGCATAGCAAAGGGACATGTTTCGCAGATTCCAGATGATCTAGAATCCCTGAGCGGTGGCCACATTACTCATGCAGCCAGCGAGAAGCCCACTAATTATAGGCTTGCATCTCTAAGTAATGCCTCTGCATTTGTCACATGCCTGGCTTTCACCGCCCACAGAGGGGTATGTCCACTACACAATCGGGAAAGTCAAGAAATGAAAGAGATTTGGCTCGCACCTCTCACGAAAGATGGTACAACTGTGGGTCACGAAATGAATTGAAGGTAAAGGACAATCTAAGACTTCATTCCGACGCATGGAGAAAAACCGGACAAAGGGCAACTTAGAATGTCTAAGCGACGTGTGGCCGATGCTCTGTCCCACGGCTTGCCCGCCAGGTCTCCGGACCCTAGGGGTTGTTTCGTATTAAAAAAAATGACAGTGCCCGGCTAGCTAATCACTAACCTTCCTATTCTTCGAACGTTGAAGCTTCACTCTCCTTGAAAACCACTCCTTGGCTGTCTGACCCGTGGTGAAGACACTGGAATCTGGTGCCCGCAGGAACGCCTCGGCGACGATAGGGCTCTCGTTTGTGAGGGCTTCCAATATGACATCATTTTCGGGCCTAGTAAAGAACACGAGGGACCATCTTTCATGTTGTCCTTGGTCACCAGGAGGCGGCCTACGGTACAAGTGAGTACGAAGGAGCTGAGTCTTAGAAAGCGTCGAACGCACACAACACGGTGAAGATTAGATCTCAGAATGCCACCACTGAAGATGGTCATGGCGTCTCCAAGATTACAGATGGCACAGCCGGGCATAGGCTTCCACCAGCACGTTCTGCAATTAGGGTATAAAGAACACGGAGTAAACATTGCACGTACCTTGATGTATTGCCATGTCTCAGTTCCGGGGACCATGACTTGTAATCCTCCAAGACGATTGTGGAGGAATGACTAGAGATGTAGTTGACTGTCTGGCGATACGTCCCAATCCTTTCCAGACACTCACCAGGGAACCAAAGTCGGTATGCGCTCCGATAGCTGTTTTCTCTGAGAAGCCTTCCGATCTTGGAGGACTCTTGATGCATCTGGTCTCACTGCCGCTGGGTACTTCGAGTCTGTGCCTTCGAGCGAGCGCGCCTTCAGGCAATCCCAGTTTCGCATTAAAAATCTCAATCAGTGTAGTATTGACTTGAAGTGCCTTGCGAACAAACGGAGCAATGGTGTTCTCCATTCGAGCATTGACGGTCGACGGATAGGTGCGATGAACTGTTCTAGGCCAAGATAAAGCATCATCTTTCGCAACATTGATGAATTCAACGGTGTCTGGCGCGCCAGTCTCGTCTGTGGCGTTCGCTCCCGCAGCTTTGTACCTGTAGATACAGATCCCTGTTAGTGCGAATTCAAATACAAGCGATTATCCCAGTACCCGAATGACATGCCCTCATCTCCCTGTTCGAAGCGTAACTTCTCTTCTAGAGGAAGGGCCATAGTCTCAGCACCCATGTTGAACATCTCTTGGACCTCCAGATCAGCGCCGTGATTCTTCAGGCTAGGCGCGACGCGGGGAGGTTATATGCGTGTCAAAATGTGAAAACGTTGCCGGGACAGACACTTACTACCAGAATCCCAGCTCGGTGGCCGCCTTCCATAGCTTTGCAATCTCGTCCTCGTCTCCAGCTTGGAGGAGAGCAAAGTCGACCACAAGAAGAGGATGTGTGGGGACATTGTCCGGGAATGGTGGGAGCGTCGTAAGACCTGGCATTGGATGATGATCAAGCGAATGCAGCAATGGGCAATGGAGGGAAGGTCATAACGGGACCCGTTATTTATCCCCCGTCACTAGAAATAAGCTCCCGTCCGCGGGTGTTTCATGAACCCCTCTTCTCCACAACACGCATTCATGTCAAACGAGGTAAGGCATCTGCAATCCGAAGATCGGAGATGAAGTCGGCGCTGCCACTTACTTACACACATTACGAATAGAGATATTGAACTGCAAGTACAGCGCTTGCTGTTCAATGTCTTCACATACGGATTTTGTGCCAGCACAAGCAGGTGCGAGCGTGCGCGGCGAAGAACGAATTTAGCACACTCCAAAATCAGGGACTTCAAAATCGCCTATCGAGAGGCAATGTACCGGACTGTAACAGGATATCATCCGTCGGCATAAGCACTGCTGAGACCGGTTTAGCCATCGTGCATCATGCTGATTTATGCATCATCCATCACGTTTGACAATCGAGATCTAGTTTCAGCGAAATAAGGAGTAAGAAGTAAACCCAAACTAATCAAAGGGCGTACCGTACTCACCGAGCAATAAGTATTGTGATGCAGCTGGAACCATGTCCTCATGTGGCATCTCAGTCATTGTCATCAAGCAGTAATCCCGTCTACCCAACACCAGCACAATGAAAATGCTTGGAGGTACGATATAACACAACAGAACAGTCTGACATAATACAAGGTGCATAACAAGAGCAGATGTATGGACTTCCTGCTAGAAATCTCCTCATCGTATAACATAACTTTCCATGACAAAAAATCTCAATGACCGTGGAATCCAGGTGGACTGAAATGGAACTGGAATCCGCTTGGGAAGCCCTGTTGGAAGAACTGGGCGAAGTGTTGCCCCCCGCCTTGGCTACCAGAAAAGGGATTTCCGCCCTGTGATGCCATGGGGTCGTTCGGATCGTCGCCATTATCGAAACGTTGTCTCAGCTCTACAACATCCAACGTCACATTACAAGCGTTTTTACTGAAAAATAATCTACTAACCTGGGTTGTTGAGGACCTCATACGCCTCGTTGACTGCCGCCATCTTGGCCTCGCTACCGCCCTTATCTGGATGCGCCTTCATGACTGCTTTCCGACTAGACGACCAAAAATAAGTAGGCATACAATAACACAAACCTCGAAGTGGCGTACTAAGCCTTCTTGATCGTCTTTGTGTCAGCGTCCCGGGCAACACCAAGCACCTTGTAGTAATCCTTATGGCGGGACTGTTTAAGGAGCTTCTGAGCTTTCTGCAGCCGTTGGTGAATCTGTAGATCACATCAGCCTAGACTCAGCGCTTTTTGATTAACAACCCACGTCTCGGTTCGAGCGTCCGTTTGCCTCAAAGGCCCGTTCAAGAACACGCACAGCTTCCTCCCACTCTTCCTGGATAAAAAGCACCTCTGCACGACCTATTGCACCATCGGCATCATCTTCCAGACCGTCCATCTCCGATAGAGCAATACACCAGCGCTCCCCTTTCTTCGGCTCGTTCAGCTTGATATGCGCACGACATAGACCACGCAGGATCGCTTCACGTCTGGGAGAGAGGCGCTTCGCCTGAGGAAGCGGTATAGCAGGTGGAAGGCTGAGCGCGATACGAGTCATATGTTTCTCTAACGCGGCATCGAATGACTCTGCAAGACCTTCCTTCTTGCCCTTCTCGCTAGCAAGGAGTGAAATCACGGCGCGCCAATCCTCTGATGCCAGGTGCTTCTCGAGATTTTTGAAGGACTTGTCAAGCGACTTCACCAAGCGGTGAGCAGGTAGGCACTCAGAGGAGTCCGGGTCGTAGTGTAAGCACTGCTTCAGGGTGGATAAGGCAGCGTTCTGGTCTCCAAATGAGTACGGACCGAGAAAGTATGACAAGCGGAAAATTTTCATGAGCAGGGAGGTGGACGGTGTGGTTAAATGTGTGAGACGACTGCCCAGCGGAATCGTAAGGACCGTTTCACAAGATAGCGCGTTACAAAGACTTACGTCAAGTCACCAATAGAGCTCTCAATATCACCCGCAGCGAGAGCACAATCCGCACGTTGTTGACGTAGCTCTGCAGAATGGGACGCCGTCTGCAAAGCGGTTAATGCAGCTTCTTCACAGGCTGTCCACAACTTCGCACGCAAAGCTTGTCCAGCCTTCTTCGCTGCTAGTTCACCCTCGCTGATTCCAAATAGAACCTCCTGGGCCTCTTGATCCTTGATGTCGGAAGTATATCTCTTGATCGCTTCTCGCGCCAGGGGAAACCGCCCCTCCTTGGCAAGTATCCGCGCCTTCATTAAGTATGCCTTGTCAAACGAATCGGACGTCAGTTCGAGCACCTTGTCGAAGTCGGAAAGTGCAGCAGGATGACGACTGAGAGAATAGTACGCAGTTGCACGTTTGTAGTAGAGGAGGTAATCAGCAGGAGAAAGTTCTGAGAGTAACGTTAATCAGAGTCCATATTAACAAGCAAAGCGGATACGCGGCGAAGTTCCACGCGGGACGTTGAGGAGCGTCCTGGAAACGCAGGCGGCATGCATCGCGGGGGATAACTTCTCGGATGTTTACGACGGCGTGCATAGAGAAACATCCGGATACCCCTGCCTCCTCACTGCGCTATGGCATTGCCACGGCAGCCAATATACTAATCACTAGAGGCATACACTCACCTATCGCCTCCGTATAAGCTTTGGCAGCATCATTAAACTGCCCGACAGACAATAATGCATTCGCACGATTGACCAACGGTAATAAGCCAGGAGGGTAGAGAGCAGAGGCGTTTGGGTCTGCGTTGACACCATAAAGCAGTACAGCTAGAACACAAGGAAGTAGAACACAAAGCCGTAGCAGCATCACACAAATTAGCCGGATCGTGACCAAAAGAAAGCGCAGGTTACACAACGAAGTCAACAAGTCAAAGCCAGTCGTCGTCGGAATGTTATAGCAGCTGCTGAGTCCGACCGACTGTCTGACCATTGGCATTTCGAACTTCCACGTTACATTCAAGTCACGTGCTCGACATCGAAGTCAATAAATAAGAATTAGAGAAACTATAAGTACATATGTTTGGTCAGTAATACGGTACACTACTTACGGCACTCGTATCGCAGAGGTTCCGTCACTATAGACACCAGATTTTGACAGTCTGGCAGCCCTAAATGAATCAGTGATCCACAAATTAAATGAATACACGCAACACAAGAATACCTGATCGGTTCCTCCAGTGGCATCAACATTGACTGTCTTAACTATGTCTTTGCCCTCGCGATCAGTCGAAGAGGCATTTCCACAGGCCAACTATGTGAACGGGCACTCAATGATGAATTTAGTAACTGGACTGCTGTCGAACTGTTCGAGATATCATTCTTTATTATGTACCTGCTTGTCTTAGATCCCACGTCCGCATAAAGTGGTCATCGACCGCTGACAACAGACACTTTGCTGATGGATGAAAAGCAAGAGCTTGAATTAAGTCGTCATGCCCAAACTGAACGTTATAGACCGTGCTTGGGTGAGAATCTGAGTATAAAACCAGATGACACTCACAAGAGTAGACAGGTATTATCCGCGAAGGCCATCCCATGACTTGATTGTCTTATCATGAGGGCCGATCATAACAAAGGAGATAGCTAGTGAGTCGACCTTCAATGTCAGCGGGCCGCCGGGCTGAGGAGTTTTAAGTTGGTTTGCATGAGCTTTATGACAATCACAAGTAGATGCGAAATAACTGATGGACCAAAGCCACCAACTCTCTGATAGAAGGAATGGAGATTGTGGATAGGAAGACCGCCTACTTGATGCCGTTGTCATAGCCCCTCATTTGTGCTTCAAGTGTTGTCAATTCTATTTCGATGATGAGAGCGGCCTGCGATGAATCATAAGCAGTAACGTGCATGAAGATTGATTCAGGGCTCCTACATGATCATCTGAGCAAGAGAATCAGTCGCCCATCATAACTCTGTACCACGGATTGGATCTGTTGGTCATGAGGAGAATGAACCTTGATGCACTGACTATCAAGATGTGAGACGTAAGGAAATCTGTCACCAACGGATGGAAAATGTGATTAAAAGTCTACATAGTCCGAACATTCCACATTCACACTGTATGGTCTCGGCTTGACGGAATGAGATGATGAGCATCACCCGGAAGAAAGCGAACCGACGAGATCGTATGTTCCTGTCCACGCAGTGTGGCAAAGTTTGGTGGTCATCAGGTACATTCCACAGCTTGACGAACAAATCGTGTGAAGGATCAGACAAACCGCATGATAGCGACCAGATGGCTTGTACATTGTAGAGCTTATACGGACCTTAAATTTTGCCTGATGAATCAGAAGCACAGTCCGTGACGGCTCTCTTGTGACCTTTCGAGGGTCCGTTCCAATTTATCCGTCTCAGTCCCATAATTTTACTGTTGCATCAACGGATACGGAGGCCAACACAGAATAATATGGAAGAAAGCGGAAGGCGTCGACTTTGTCCCAATGACTAATAAGAGTACGTCTGGCCAGTGCAGTAGGGAGCTACTCATCGTTCCGTTGCGTGCTATCTGAGTGAGACGTCTCCTCGAGAGCTTTAGCAAGGCGTACTCTAGCTTCATAATCTAAACCCGTGTCATCTCGAGAGCTTCAACTGGTTCTACTAAACAGATCGTACCTTCTTTTACATTCTCATAACACTTTTCCGCTTCTTCAGTAGCAGACCGCTTGTCGCCCCTGCATCGGGCTCAAAATCAACCTTGTCGGGAGTCATACGTCGATACACTATCGGATCCTAGAACATGACAGCGCGATTGATAGAGCAAGTACACACGAATCCGGCCTCTTGTTGTAGTTGCTCATACGTTTTCACGAGCCCGGAACTACGGAGATCATTTAGTAGTGTTCGTCGTCTGTTCAGTAACCTTCCACTTTTTCCGTAGTATGCCATAGAAATGAGCTTACGCAAAATAGTCAATTAGAGCAAACGGGGTCGCTAGGCGTAACTCGCGCTTAGATATCAGCAAGATATCATTGGCATTGTTGCTTCAAATAGTAGTCTGGATAAATAAGATGCATGATGAGTGTCTCATGGTATTCATGTGCGACGGCGATCACAGTAGAAGACGCGTTTGTAGAATCGTGTAATAACGTATCGAGTCCTTTCAACGTCCCTGTATCACACAGGGTGGCAGGTATCACCGGATGAAACTGATACTCTGTCGCTTGACATAAGATCACGGAGCCAAAATAAATTTGTGATAAGAAATCTCACACACCTTGTGGATCTCAACGGAGGGGCAACAACCGCACGGGTTTGAACGCTTGTCCCACCGTTCCTTGGGGAAATGCCAGGAGAATCCGTGTCTGTAAGTAGAGAAATGGGTGATTGTCTCAAGAAAGTTGAATATAATTGACATAAATCTGCCAAATAGGAAGGCCGAACGTATCGAGCCCTTGCCAGATCCTTGCGAACTTGCGAAGAGGGTCCAAGCAGGTCTGACATTAGGCGCACCTCAACGCCACCCAGGATTCAAATCTCGATCACAGTCTTGTTTGATTCTGAGCCTCGGAAGCCTGCCCTAAACTTGACGCACATAAATTCTCGTCCGTGACATCAGTGGTTCTTCAGAACATACTCAGCTAGGATCTATTTTATAGGTACTAACTCGAGTCTCGCATGTTTACACATGCCACATCTTTCATATCCAGTCGATGATAGTCGCGTCCGCTCGTTATACCGAGAACATGTCTGCCTTGTGCGGGCTCGAGGACGTTTGGTTCTTTCCCTGTCGTTTCTCTCTGAGTGACGTGGGGGATGAGCCAGCGGGTTGGACGTTTGTCTGATGGATATCTTCTAATTTATATGGATCCAATTATTGTATCTTGTAGTTTGAATGTTAGATCTTCTGTCTGACCATGCATTGCCTGTCCTACACCATCACCTGTGAAATTGAATGTTGTGGAAGCTCAGGGGGTTAACATATTACTTCAATTGGTATCCAGGAGCTGCTGTCTGGTATGTGACTTGTATGCTGTGAAGTTAATTGCAAGTAGTGATGGAGTACTGGGGCTTAATGGTGGTATGATTTGATGCTTGTGTAGCTGAGCAGTTGACTTCCCAATTGTCATTCTCTTATATGATAGTGGTATACCAGGTGACAATGTCAGCTGTGGTTGCTCGCTTCGGGCCCATGTGGGTGATAGAAGCGTGGAGTTGAAATGATGCTGCCCGAGTCCACCTAAATCTACCTAAATACCTGTTTGCCACCTGAGCCTTAGGCATTAGCCCCCGACTCCAAGATAATGGTGGGTGCTGCGACGCGGCTTGCTTTCTGCGGGATCGCTGGTCTCGTTAACGCACTTCAAATCCCATCTGAGTTCAAGCAACCTCCGAGTGCAGAGGTTGATGCAGTCGATCCGTGTGTTCAACCTTCCTTTTCACCCGAATGTCAATTTATGTGTATTCTAAATGTCAGTCTCATCGGCAATGGTGGAGACACACCCAACGGTTCAGGTGGTATGATCCCCAGTACCGCGCCGCCTTTCGGTATGACGCGTTGGGTGGCCCAGACGACGGAGAACTACGTCTCTGTCACCCCATACAATCACACTTATACCAGCGTACACGGCTTCCAGGTGTGTATATCGTTGTTTCTGTAGTCGTGCGCATGTCAAGGCGGTTCGCAGGGCACGCATCAGCCGGCAATATGGATGGGCGAGAGCGGCACTGTCGTGGTGGTCCCCGGGACGGGCGAGGTGAAGACGACATTCGAAGACCGCGGGCTAGAGATTTCGTATGCCGACGATGAAAGGCAAGAAGCCGTGAGTGTGAGCTACTATGCTGTAGAGCTCGAGGCAGACGAGGGTATTCTGAAAGCAGAGATGAGTGCTTGTACGTTGTGCTGGACCGGAGCCGTTAAATCAGTACTAATATTTTCTAGCTTCTCGCGTCGGACACTTGCGGTTCACGTTTCCGACAAAAGAGGGCGATGTGCTTGGACCTTACGTGTTGTTGGAAGCAACACGACCCTCGATTCTCGGATCCCCAGCCTCACCAGATGGCTCGTGGGTGTCGTACCCGTCTGGGAGTGTATCGGTAAATGTCGAGGCGAGTACGATTTGCGGACGGAACCCTGAGCGACAAGATGAGATTATCGGCCCAAACGCGGCAGTCGGATGGGCAGGCTATTTCTGCGCGCGATTCAGCGTTCCCGTCGTTAGTGTGGGAATAGTGCAGAACGGGACAGAGTTGGCTGCGGGCGTGATGAACGCAGAAGGTACGCTGCTCTCAGCGTATGGGCGGTTTGCACCAGGCACACAGGTTGTGGACGTGCGTGTGGGCGTGTCGTTCATCTCGGAGGACCAGGCATGGGCGAATCTTGAAAAGGAGATTCCGGATGGGACCACGTTGGAGGAAACTGCTAAGCAGACGAGGGAGGCCTGGACGGACAAGCTGAGTCGGGTGCGGATCGAGGGTGCAGATGAAGATGAGAGGAAGTCTTTCTACACAAGCATCTTCCATACTCTCCAGGTACGTCGTTATCTGCATGGTTCCGTGCATCTCCTGATCTCTTTACAGTATCCGTACGAACAAGATGAAGGCGGACAGTACTATTCGGGCTATGATGACAGTATACATGAAGGAGTATCGTATACTGGCTACTCTAACTGGGATACCTTCCGTGCCGAATGGGCATGGTTGATTCTACTGGCGCCTGAGCGTATACCAGGAATGATTCAGAGCATGATTCAAGACTATGTAGAGGTATGATGTCCTCTTCTCAGAGGGGGATAAAAGTAACATAATCCACCCTGACCAGGGCGGATGGCTGCCGATGTGGAAGAATATCGTTGGTATGCACCCTTTGTCGCGTTTTAAGTCCTGATTTTTAACGCTAACGCGACGCTAGAAACGAATATTATGGTTGAACATTGTGGTTTGTCAATTCCTTGTGGCATACGCTAATTGTGTCGAGACAGGTTGCAACACATGCCGATTCGCTCATTGCTGAGGCTGTCGTGAAAAACATTACGGGCTTCGACATGGAAACCGCATATGCAGCTGTGTATAAAGATGCAACTGTACCACCGGTAGACGACTGGACGATCTCGTAGGTGCTCCTCAGACTCACGCGGGACTGATATTGATTTGGGGGTTGGATGACAGATATTACGATCGTGAGGAAGTCAGTTGTTTGGTATCACCCTCTGGTTGTAGCTGACTACGTGCAGGGTGTTGGTTACGAAGTCCGTGCAGGCTTATCATCAGTGTACGAGGAACGAGGGTGGGTTGCAGACGATATCCATTCCGAATCAGCCTCACGCACTCTTGACTATGCATGTGAGTTTCATTGGTGCTATCTTCATAACTCGCTGCTTATCGTATTGGTTTAAGACGATGACTATGCGGTGTCCGTGTTTGCGGCCCGCCTTGGAAAGACGGAGAATGCGACTTTCTTCCGAAATCGTGCAATGACAGCTCCATTCACAATATTCAACTCTGACACTGGGTTCATGGAAGCACGCAACGTGAATGGAAGCTGGGCAGGTCAAGATCAGGGGTGGACTGAGGGTGATATGTGGGCGTATACATTTGATGTGATCCAGGATATACCAGGGCTCATCGAGCGCCGGGGTGGAAATGCTTCGTTTGTGCAGTTCCTGGATGAACATTTTAACGGAGGTTAGTAGTGCCTTGCTGTACCGACACGTATCCTTGTAACTGATTTATGGTAATTAATTCAAGGCCATAACGATCAAACCAACGAGGTAAGAAGATAACGCACTTGTGCATTTTCTTCACTGTTTCAACTTGACTGGAAAAGCCCTCGCACCATATCCCGTACCTGTATGCGCTAGCTGGCGCTGCATCAAAGGGACAGGAACGTATCCGCCAAATCGCCGCTGCCAACTACAATGCTACTATTGACGGTCTGTCAGGGGTGCGTCTGATGTTCGTGGAGGACAAGATGACATATATGACATTGTATTAGAATGATGACTGCGGCCAAATGAGTGCCTGGTACATCTTCAGTGCGCTGGGATTCTATCCTGTTGATCCTGTCTCTGCGACATATGTGATTGGCACGTAAGTGTAATTCAAGTAACTCTGTTATTTGATTGTATCTGATTGACATTAACTGCGTATGACCCCTGACTAACTAGACCATTTTACGACAAGGTTACAATCGATCTCCCGGGAGCGTCGCGTCCTCTAGTAATCACTTCGCGAGGCGCGCCGACGATGCCGTACATCAAGTCGCTCACTGTGAACGGCGACATGATGACGGTGCCCATCATTACTCATGAGCAGATTGTGGACGGTGGCGAAATTGTGTTTGAGATGAACACACAGCCAGAAACCTGGGCGTCATCTACTCTGGTAAGTGATCACTGCTACTTTTGTGCAAGCAGAGGTCGTTCAACGGATTGATGCATGGAGATGTAGGTTGGAGCACATACCAATACTGGAGGAAACCCCGGTCACGACGAGTTATGAACGAGGCTCTTGATTCTTTGAGAATTTTGCTGAACTTGCTTCGAATCAAAACCCACAAAAGTGGATACTGCAAATATATATGTACAATATCAATCTGCATTACCGCAAGTATGCTCTTGAGCGCTGTGACCGATCGATCCTCCGTGTTGGCAATAGCTTTCGATGAGATTTGAGCGGCAAGGCTGTAGTACTTCCTATCAGCGGTGGTAACTTTGTAAGGTGGCTGCTGTGATGATAGAAAAAATCTAGACGGACGTAGCGGCAGATCATGATACTGCAGTACTTCAGTGTGTCGATTTGGCCATTCGAACATTCGACGGTTGTCCATCACTGAAGAAGATATTCAAAACTCCTATGTCGAAAAGGATTACAAATGTAATGCCCAGAAACGTTCCTGAAATATACTTGCCTAGACTGCATGAACTGAGTAGCCTCATAAATCGACCGAAATAGGTTCGAGTGCGCAGAACACGCATACGCCGTCGCTACTATGTTCGCACCCCTCTCACGTTCGCCTATTGGATACACGAAAGGGTCCGGATCAAAGAGCGTGGAAGAGTTATCATGTAAACTCGCCTTGAGAAGGATCGACCTTCTGCAAGCTTACATCTCGCTTCAACCTTCGGCATGACGAGACTTACTACTCGCGATCGCGCAGACCATATGCAGGGCAACCCTTGACGTTCCATCTAGCTGAGCTCTGGGACCAATGAACCAAGCTGCTACGCGGCACCCAAGCTGTGTCGACGCCATGGCTGTTCAGAAAGGAGGACAAGTACCATTCCAACATAATCGCGAGCCGAGCCGCAATTGACATCCTAACGGAGCGTTCTAGCGCCTTCAATCGTATCATGCGCATGCCGTGCGTTAACAATGGCCGAACAGGGCGTGGTATGTTTTTTCTATCCTTGTTCAACAGCTTTGATATGCTGACCTCAGATAGTGCCATAGTTGCCAACGGCGGTAAAGAAGCGGTCATGGCCTTGGTCATCAGGACCAATGTCGGCCGCAAGGCCCCCGTAGGGATAAACGGTCGCGCCGTGGCCGATTCCGTTTTATCACAACTGATCAAGACGATGTTTCGCATTTCATCCCGCCTCCGAATCCCCTCCGTATACCTTCGCATTTTTCGAATCGTATCAATACTTTCCACGAGACGAAGCCATGTCCACTACACCGCGCTTGAACCCTCCTTTTCGCGCAGACCACGTCGGGTCGCTGAAACGCCCTATAGTACTTCTGCAGAAGCGCAAGGATTTGGATGAAGGACGGTGCACACAGGAGGAGTTGAAGGTCGTTGAGGACGAAGCCATCACGAAAATCGTCCAGATGCAGAGGGATGTAGGCATCAAGGCTATTACGGATGGCGAGTTCAGAAGGTGCGCACAACTTGATTGAAATTGCGGATGAAGGATTTCGAGGCTGTCGAGGCTGGATACTGACTGGACGTTGGTGATAGGCACATGTTTTATGATGGTGTCTTCGACAATCTGGAAGGCACGAATTACATCCCAGTTGGTGGGTACGCTGGCATCCGAGTGTTAATCTGTTTACTCATGCTCGTTACAAACAAGTTCCATTGGACTGGTTCATGGTACGTGATTGGAACACACTAGATCGCCGTTTTTTTTTTAAATCCTAACGTTCCGCGCAGGACTATGTCCCCGACATCGACGCCTTCAAACAGCACAACTTTAAGGGCGCAGCATCTTACCTATGCGAGGTCCACGCCTTTTCATAAGTTATCCTATACCAGCTGATGGCGAATCTGCTCGTTTCCAGTCAAAGCTTAAGCGCACGAAGCCATTCTACGTTGGACAATTTGAGGCCCTCAAAGCTCTTACTGAACCCGAGGTAGATTCTCACCTCGGCATATATTTGGTCGTTCTTTTTTAAAAATATTTGAATTCCAGGAACACAAGAACCTGAAAATTACCATGTGTGCTCCAGAGTGGTTTCATCTCCGGCACGGGCCTTACGCATATCCCAAATCCGTGTACAAGAATGATGGTGAGCGGGATTACTCCCCTCGATGTGCGGCGACTTGATTGTGAATCGTATGACAGATGAGTACTTCGCCGATATTGCCCAAGCGTACAGGGAGGAGATAAGGGACCTTTATGCGGTAGGATGCAGTGCGTTCATTCGTAGCCTCATATGGGGCACAACTAAGAAGCCTGTATCCAGGGAATATCCAATTTGATGACCCCCTTTTAGCCTACTTCTGTGATGTCAAAATGCTCAAGGGGATGGAGGAGCGCGGTATTGATCATGTAGCGATGCTTGATCTATACTGCAAAGTGTATAATGCATGCCTCGAGGGCCGCCCGGCTGATATGACAGTTGGCATTCACTTATGCCGCGGTAACTTTAAGGTGCAGCGGACTACGTCCTCTATCATATACTCTACATCTGATATGCTGTCTGTCTGACCACGTAGGATGGGCGTCATTTCAGTGAGGGTGGGTATGACCGAATTGCTATCAAACTATTCCAGGAGATTTCAGCCGACACTTACTATGTACGGTTGCCGATATCCCTTTGATCGTCGCTGATCCTCTTGTAGCTTGAATATGAGACTGAGCGAGCAGGGACATTCGAGCCCCTGCGTTGGCTCCCTACAAATAAATCCGTTGTTTTGGGTCTTGTCTCTAGCAAATTCCCTAAAGTACGTCTCACATTTTGCCATCCCGCTTCATGCTGTTCTCATTGCATGCCGCCAGATGGAGGTTAAAGAGGAATTGATTGCTCGGGTATACCAGGCTGCGGAAATTATTGCTAACGGAGAAGAAAAGCGCTCTAAGGAGCAGGCACTGAATCAGTACGCCGTGACTACTGGGTTTCGTCTTCACCAGCTAATCAACGTTAATTTGCACAGAATCTGCATAAGTCCGCAGTGTGGCTTTGCATCTCATGCGGATGGCAACCCTGTTACTGAGGATGATGTCGTGCGCAAGCTTTCTCTTGTTACCGAGACAGCGAGGGCGATCTGGGGAGACAACTAAGGTGCAGATAAAGCGTTGGAAACATCGAATTCAAGAAAATGAATGGGCTAGCAAGAAGAAGTCTGTAAATGTGTGCTTACTCTCAGATGGTCTTCTCTCTGGACAGGGTTTCCTGTATTTAGTCAATATTGTACTCCAGTTTCCCCTGTTTATGTTCATGTGTTTGTTCGTTCATCGCTCTTGGCGTCCAGGTATGAACACTATCACAACATTGATTCAGCTAACTTGCGCTTGAAGACGTAGGAATGTCATATTTACAACCATCGGAGCGTCATTGCAATCCCATTGGCGTTCCTGGATTGCTCTAATGCTTCCGCAATTATTGGCCGCATGCGTCCACGTCCGCGGGTAACATGTGCTAACGCGTGCTGAGATTTTCTCATGGACACCTTAGTCGTGGATACGTACTCACGCGCCACTAGAAGCACTTTGCCTCCATTCATATAGGAATGGAAAAGAAGTACCTAGAGTCATAGTTTTTTCGCCAAATAGGCATAGTTTCATAGGTGAGAACCGTAATCTGCATCTGACATTTACTCGGTCATTGTCTCTATCGACAGGACAGGACACTCTTGTTAGTCACCAGAGGGCTATATTTTCTATAAGTTTGGCTATGCGTTTCAAGCAATCGCCGAACATCCTCTATTCCTCGGAGTTTTGATCTAACACGTTCTATCTGCTACATGACAAAGAAATGACCATTTGCCCAGTGGAGAACGGTCACCCCATTTCGCAAGAGAGAAAAGACTTACCCAATTCATCTGGCACCTTTCCAATGTCTTTCTGATGCATTTTCTGTTGCAAGCAGATGGTGATTTCTTTGTTGTGCTGTGGTCTCTCTTTTGAAGCTAATGTTTAGGAGGCAAGTTTTTGCAAGATACTTATTACCAGATATGTTATGTGATGCGTCAATTTTCTCTGGGTCAGAACAGCCTCGTACGATATCGCCCAATTGAATGGTAATTTCATCGCGCAGTCGAGATCTGGACTCCTAGGGCTATCTCTCAGGAGGCTCAGGCGTCCCATTGACTCCTATTACTGTAGTTGTTATCGAAGAGGTCTATTCTCAGTCCGAACATAGCTTTCCCCGAGATTATGCCTTCAGGCAAGCGCCATTACCATCTCGTATTTTTTTGTCTTAACCCTTCCTGCACAGGGTTTCATGCATCATGGTCTGTATTTTCTTGTATGCCCTGTTTTCACCCATCCCTACTTTCCGAAGGCCGGAATCGGGTTGGTCGGGAAGGGCTATGCCAACGTGAGTCACGTGTTAGAGAATGGTCGAATATACATGTCTGATGACTGGCTCAGCGGAGACGGTGGTTCTAGTCGAGTGGTCGGCTCGGTCAAATGACTTCCACATGCACATGGATTTCGCCTCCTCCCTCTCCGCGATGTATTCCACCGAGGAGATCTGCTCTTCTGAAGGTGATCTTGACGCAGACCACGGGAATTGTGACTTGCAGTACGCATCCAATTCCCTGCCTCGGACCGCTCGCCGCTGTTCGTGACCGGGATATTGCTTCTCCAAAGGGGTGTTGGGAGAGCCACGAGGGCCTTGTCATGGGCGGATACCTTTCATAAGTCATCGCCTTCATCATCGAGGCATCCCGTTACCCCCGCATACGTATCCTCGGGGACTGTGACGATCTTCCGGCCATCCCGTAACCCTATATAAGGCCGATCACTTACCGCTCGAGTCTGTCGCGTCTGGCGGCTCTTTTCTTTTGCTCCTGAAAATATGCGCGGGCCGACATTCCTGTTCGCGATTTTCGCTGCTTGCATTTCTCTTGCTGGCGCGCAAGACACGACTGCGAATGTCGCAGTTCCCGTCACAGCTCCCAGCGATGCGCAACCCCTCTGGTCTACTCTTCTCTCATTCTCCATTGAGCAAGATCGGTGGCCGGACTGGGCTGGCATCGATGCTCGTAATGAGTTTATGCATAGTGCGCTTCAAAACTACGCAGATCTTACTGGATCGCCGCCAAAGTTTCGCGTGGGCGCGGATTCCGAGGATCACACTATGTGGTCCCCGACAGTGACGGTAAGTAGGTACACATTTGCTGCGGGAATTGCCTCACAGGCAGCTCAGGTAAACGAGGACGAGTTTCCTCCTTCAAGTGCCATCACACCCTACCCGGAAGCAACTCAAATTGTTGTTGGCAATGAATTTTACGAATTATCTCGCTGGCTTCCCGCCGGTATGCTCTGATTTCATTAGCATTTTACCATAAATGTATAACTACGTCATATAATCAATGTCCAGGCACGCATATGATATGGGGCATCAATTTAGGGTACAACAACATTACAAACGCAGTCAATATGGCGAAGGCAATTTTCAATGCTTTCAGCTTGCCCTCTGTAACCAGTTCTGGAGTGATTCTGGAACGTATTGAAGTTGGTGCGCGGTATATCCAATATAAAAAACTAATTTCACATTTTGATATAATCACAGGTAATGAACCGGACTTGTATGGCGACAATGGACTGCGACCTGCCGATAACTGGACCGTTGAGGACTACGTCGCCGATTGGGAATCCGTTGCAGGCCCAGTGGTAGAATCTGTTGGTATCACGAGCAAAGTCGGACCTGTCACTGTTCAAGGCGCGGCGTTCTCTGGTCAGGGATTTACACCAAGGGAGATTTTTGCTCTCGGAATTTTGGGCAGCACGGCGGGAAAGGACATTTCCACGTAAGTGTCTCAGGTATGGACTGTTAAGATTCTACATCTTACGTCTTATCAGTATTTCGCAGCACCAATATTCTGCAGCATTTTGTAACGGCGGCGATTTCGGACTCATATCCTTCATGAACAAGTCGTCCATTCGATCAAACCTTACAATTTTTGAGGCCGATATTGCAGCGACTTATGCGCAGGGGTTAACATATATTCTAGGGTTAGTGCATAGCATCGGCGATGTTACTTTATGCCACACTGACAAGTATTCGCACGGCTCAGTGAGACAAACAGCGTTGCTTGCCATGGCGCGCCCGGGGTCAGTAACACCGCGGGTGCTGCACTTTGGGTGATCGACCATACACTTTTCTCGTCGACCATCGCCATTCGCGAGCTTTACTTCCACGAAGGAGTGGGGTATAAGTACAATTTCGTAAGCATGTACTCTTTTTGCGTGTTGCGGACAAGGAACCGATTATAATTGGCTAGTTCCAACCAATCACCCTCAACTATTCTACAATTGACGGATCACCGCTCAACCCGCCAGAGCTCCCACACATCCAGCCACCATATTACGGGGGCCTAGTTGTCGACACGTTCGTGGGATCAACTGGTTCCGCACAAGTAGTCGAATTGGACGTGCCCAATAACAACACGAGCGGATACGCAGCGTTTGAAGGCGGACAGCTTGTGCGCGCCCTCTTCATCAACCTTGACGCATGGACAACAAATAGCACCGGAACTCGTCCTGTCGTCCATCTCGATCTAGACTTTGATGGGATTACGACGTCCTACGCGATGGCACGGAGACTTGTCATACAGCATGCGGATGATACGTCCAATTTGACGTGGGCGGGACAAAGTTATGAGCAGACATCGAACGTCAGCCCAACCGGTCAGCTGGTACTGGAAACTGTAAATTTGCAGCAGGGAATTGATATCAGAGCGACCGAGGCAGTGTTACTTACGTTTTGAAATCTGATACTACGGTAGCTTCCAGAGCTTTGGCACAAATTAACATTGCTATTCTGAAATCTGCATCATAGTGTCTGGTTGCTTTACATGTATATCTTAGGACAAACGTTCTCTCACGATCGATGAGAGTTCTTGTTACTGCAATGTCGGCAACATCAAACCGAATGCTATGAGATTAAGACACACCCCGTGAGGCAGATATCAGAAATTTCCTGCTTGGGACTGAATATGATGGCCATGCACCGATAGTCAGAGCAATCTAAACGCACACACCGCGTGGAGCTCCGGACGTGTACTCTCTTGGCCTTGAATGAAATTACATAATTCTCGGGACCGAGTATTGGGATCCATGATCCGGTCCTCTGCGCGATGCTCGAGTTCATAATAATTAGGCCGTGTAAGCTAGATTCTAGGATACTCACACTCATGCACATGCATTAGCATATAGTACAGCCTGCGTGGTAGTACGAGAGCGTGTAAGATGCGCCACAACGGATATTCATCACCGCCCATTATGATTTTGCTTCGGCTTCCTAATAGTATAGTATGAACACAATTCAATTATCTGTGATGGAGCTGCCAGGGAACAACAGGAAGGACATTTTCTACATCTCTCGGAAATGAATTCAGAAGCCGGTGGCAGATTGCCAGCGGCGCTGAGCAGGCTGGGAATGTACACACCGTGTCACTATGCGGAGATGCGTTACACCGCGTTGTGCACCGGAGTGTTCCTTCTCGATATGATGCCGCGAAGCGTCATGTGGAGTTGACAAAGTTGGGGTCATTCCCGATATATAAAATAGCGTAACAATTCCGGAGAATGTGTGGGATTCATGTTTCACTGCATGTTACAGGCAGCGAGTCCAGCGGCAGAGTGCAGCTTTTGCTACCGATGAAAAAGGTGAAATATATCAGCAAGATCGCTATTATCGATAAAGCAGATTCTGCAGAAGACCAGACCTTCCATGGACAAAGTGTATTCCACCATCGCGGAGTAAACGACCCCGTCAGTCCATTGGCATGCTCCCTGCATACCGGAGCATGCCAGAATCTAACCCGCTCCGAGCTGCGATGCATAAGGATGACGTGTGGCCGGATGCTATTCAGAGAACAGCACCTTCCCATTAGCGCAAAAATGTCCAAGATGCGAGATAGTTGTGAGACAGCCGAGGCCCACTCTGCTGCGCACCCGAAAACATATTGTAATCGGTATAGTCAATGTAGAGGACTGCCGAGAGCGGCGGAGAAGAGGAACCGGAGTATGCAAGGGAAGACAATGCTTTCGACGCGTCTGGTTGGGAGTGCCTGATATGACTAGCCTTGAGTAGAACTAGTTTGAACAGTATCAGCTAGCACTTTGGGCTTTATTGAAAGCCGCGCGGAGAGGTCGCAAAGCGCGCGGAGCGACAAGCCGAAGGAAGGCCGGCAGGCACGGTATGCTTGGTGGTGGCAAGTAGAGCACATCGCTTGGAAAGTCCGACGATATGAATGGACAGACAGGCTCCGCCCTAGTGCAAATATACTTGCGTGCGTCTCGTTGAACTCGCGTCATCAAAAAGGATATGACGATATCTTTTCATGTGAGAAGAATCGACAGTAAAGTGCATGCTATGTTCGGAGCATTGGCATGCAGCACTCACCAAGATGGGCAAGCTCACCGTGCCCGGCGCCAAAGGGCGGCAAAGAAAACTAAAGTTTGAATAAAATTTTCCTGCGAGAAAGGGCAAGAGATTGTAAAATAAAAAATAAAAGAGACTCACAGTGAGAAAGGTAAGTAGTTCCCAGTGTCCGGTAATTCAAAGCAGAACGGATTCAACAGACGGTCAACAGGAATCTGAGCCCACTGTCACGCCAAGGCAGCTGTCAACGAGTGGGAGCAAGAGTCTGTCACATCTTAAGCACTGACATCACGTATGTCACGCTTGGGCTCGCGTGACTCGGAAACACGATCGCGACGCGTTCAATCGAGCTGCAGGCTGCCTTCTAATTCTGACCACGATCGTTATTTACCGTGAAACTGCTCTAGAGTCTATGACTGTCAAGCGACCCTACACAACCGCACGCTGACACAACTCAGGGTCAAATGTATTGAATTTAATGTTGGTCGGATAGGCGGTAAAATTTAAACTCACAATAAAGTCGCAATCTGTGCTCTACCCTGCTTGTTCGCCTCCACTTGGCCTATTCGCGAGCTTCGGTGCTAGCAACTTAACCGCACTAGCTTGGAACCCCTCTGCCACCTCATTGTCCATTTTCTGGCACGCGAACTCAGCCAGGTACGGGTAAATCACCACACGCTTCGATGTGAATGAACACGTGAGTGGATACCGCCTCATGTCAATCCTTAATCGCCCTTTGACGCCAGGATCATCTCGTTGTCTACTTGTGCTACCATGGCGGCATATAACGTGTATGCTGAGCAGCTTTCACGCATAGGATATGGTTATCCTCTTTGGGATCCCGAGCCTACCGAATATGGCGAAGTCATCATCGGCGACGTTGGGTTTGTCTCAGAGGGTGCCTTCTATCGTCTCTTCAACGCCACACGTCCTGCAGACGATACTAGCCAGAAATTGAGGGTTCCGGATGGATACCGACCTCTTCCATCCGAGTCATACGCTCCTAAAAAGAGAAGCATCGCCCCGGGTCATTTGCACAGCCAGACACTGACGGACATCTCGGTAAATGGAAGCTTTACTGTGTGAGCATCCATTCTCTTATCGTAGTAAGTTCCGAGACAATCTACTAAGGCTAGCACAGGCATGGAGCGGGAGCGGGAGGCCAGTTCAAATGTACCGACGACCAAGGTGCACTCTTAGTACTGAAGCACGGTGCAGAGCGTGAGGCGTTACATCCAAGTAGACGAATGGCAAACTACATGCGGCGCAACTACGCTAGTTGGTGGAAGTTTGCCACGGAGACTCATGGGCTCGAACTTGCCAAAGAAGAACTATTGTTCATCCGAGGTCATGTGAAGGCGCCCGAGTGGGCGGTGGCGGCTTTCGTTCATTCAGGACAGTCTGCAAAGATCTCTCTCAAGGCAGATGCTAGTGGCATAGGATCAGCTGCGTTTTCATTCTCCCATTCATCGGATGCTACAGTGACGCCGGCCCAAAACTGGGGACCGAAGAAGAAAGTCGCTGAGACACAGAGTCGAAAGGGCAAGGGCAAGCACAAGGGAAAGGGTCCGCAGACTGCTGTAAGTGACGTGGCTGTGGAACAGAAGGTGGACCAATGTGTGTTCTTGCACTACTATAAGGTGAAAGTACGACTTGGATTCTGGCCGACCGTGATACAGGCTGCAGCAGGGCCCCATGACCTTCCTCAGTCCCCCGATGATGATCCTGCAGCTGGACAAGCAGGATTGGATGTGAACGATCCAATGGAACTATTGGAGATTGAACAGGTTCCGGCCATTCACAAGGCATGGCCCCTGCTCTGCGACTTGTACTATACGCTCATCTCATTCACTCCTTAGGCGATTGACCCAGTCGATGATGTCCTTGACTATATCCTGAATGTAGGTCGCATGCTTTGTGGCAGATGCTCTCCCCCGATAATATTTTATTCCAGAATTCAAATGCCACGGTTGCTATCGCTCACGATGAAGACATCGTCATGCTGTGTCAGGTAACCAGATTATTTCTATGTATCGTTCTCGCCCATTGAAATGTGTTGGATATAGCACCATGGAGTAGAGTATCCCAAAAATGTCGTTGCGTTTCTTGCAGAACTTCAGCCACAGGTGGAAGTAAATGAGGATGGCCGTAAGTGATCGACATGCGGCATTGGCTTATTCTGAATCGCAATCACAGTGGGCATGCTGATGCACGACGAGATTGTACTTCAAGAGACTACAGTCGACAACGAGCAAGGTGTCAGTCACCCTGCGCTTGATGCACGTCCCGAAGAGGAAGCTGAGCGTGAGGGTGATAGCCTAGCGTCTGACGCGCCTCTCACCGGCGGTGATGACAAGGACGATATCCAAAGTCGTCCCGAGGATACTCGGGATGGCTACCATAGTGCGGCATCTGATACGTTTCTGAACCAACACAAGGCCGTTCGTATAGACGGATATTCTCTGCTTCTTGATGGCCAGGCGGGCGGGGTGTGTGCGCTCGCCTACTCTCCGGACGGCCGCTATATAGCAAGTGGATCCGAGGACGCCGAGGTTGTCATCTGGGAAGCTGCCACGGGACGCATGCTGCGCAGACTGAAGGAACATAGCGACACTGTTTGCACACTCACATTCTCACCGGACAGCACGGAACTAGCGTCTGGCGCTCGCGATGGGCTCGCGATATTGTGGAATGTGGAGACCGGAAAGATGCGGGCGCCGCTGGACGGAGGAGGGGGCTTTGTCTATTCTCTGGCATTTTCACCGGACGGCAAGGCTATTGTGTCGACTTCTGTCGACTTTAGCTTGCGCATCTGGGACGTGGCATCAGCGACAGTGCGCTCGACTTGCACGGGCCACCACGGACTCATCATGCTCGTGCAATATTCTCCGGACAACAAGATGATCGTGTCCGCCAGCGCGGACTACTCCACGCACGTGTGGAATGCAGAGGACGGCTCGGCCGTGTCGGTGCTGCGAGGGCATACGGGCGTCATCTACTCCCTGGCCTTTTCGCCAGACGCACGCCGACTGGTGACGGGATCTGACGACGGCACTGCGCGCATCTGGAACACCCACACGGGCGACGAGTTGGTTACCCTACGGGAGCATTCGGGCTCGGTGTGGGCCGTGGCCTTCTCGCCCGACGGAAAGCGCGTGATGAGCGCGGCGAGCGACGGCACTGTCAAAGTGTGCGATTCGTACAGCGGCGATCGGCTTGTGGCGGTCGAGTCGAACGACTCGCTCGTGAACGCCGCAGCGTTCTCACCTGATGGTAAGCTCATCTGCGCCAGCGTGGGCGACAATACACTCCGAGTATGGGACGCGGACACTGGGAGACTGGTCACGCAGTTGTCGGGGCACAACGACAAGGTGAGCCACCTGAAGTTCTCTCCGGATGGGGAGCGGATTGTGTCGTCGTCGGACGACAGCACCCTGCGCCTGTGGGACTTGCGAAGGGAGGCGTGAGCATTTTGTCGGCTGTATACCAGGAGTGGGACTATTTATGGGCTGGATATATACATAATACCCTCTTATCGACGTCTGTCATAGTTTGACGTTTGACCGTTGTATACGTGTATTTAGTTGCTGGAATTATATTGTTGACTTACTTGACCTGCTCAGGGCTCCCGCTGCAGCGAGTCGGATAAATGTCCATGACTTCTGTTTGTCTTCAACATTCCCCTTCTTCGGGCCTATGGTCTATATCGTGGCCCACTGGCTAGTCGTTGCAGTCCCGATCGTAATAGATCACATGGATACACCGTCCGATCGAAGCATAAGCGACTATGACCTGCGCCACCAGCAGTGGGTAAGTTGTCGTCGGATTGCTACAGCGCGCCGAGTAGTTCTGAATATCAACAGACACGGGAGTAGAGAGTGTACTGCAGTTTGTGCATTCTGTCTCGGTATCGTAGAGATGCAACGCCGCAACGGTCAGTAAAGTTTAGTTTAGGTTTTTTTTTTCCGATCTGATCGACGTATAGGTGAGTCGCCATGTCCGTCGGGTGGCAACAAACCGTAAATGACCTCTGCATGCATCTCCAGGAAGCTGCAGGTATGGAGAATACTGCGGCCAGATGGATCTGAGAAGGATACCAGTTGCATATTCGATTCGCCGCTAGCTTCGCTCGCTTACAGCACGAAGCTTATGTTGCAAAATCAAGTTGCCGGCTATCCCACAGAGCACGGATCGCCAGCTCAGCGCGTCCCTCACAATGCGCACACGCCCCCCCCCGCCGGGGCCTTTCGCCGACTATGTTCATCGCCGCCACCGGGCGCCAGGGCGCAGAGAGGTCCCAGTGTGTGTGACGCTGACGACTACACAATCGTACCAGATTCTCGATTACGAACACCCGGTGCTTCGATGAGATCTGCGCCAACAGCCCCCCGGATCAGCTGGTGATACTCATTTATCTTCGATTCAGAGTCCTCTCAGTCGGAGCGTCAATACCCCGCCCCAGGCGGCGCGTCCCCTCTCGCCACACCGCTGCAGGCTCGCCCCGCTGCGCATGCACCGACGAACGGGACAGAGGACGCATCTTCCAGCGCGCTGGGCAGCTGTACGTGGCGTATCGTTAGCCCGCTGCCCGCCATGCACCGCCACCACCCGCGATTGCACCAATCGCGCAATATCTGATTGCGCCGTAGCTCAAGGCGCAAGCTCACTCTCCGCTCTCGCCATGATATGGCGGCGACGGGGGGGCGCACATCTGGGTGTTCGACACAAGCTGTCCGCAACGCCTCTCTGCCAACACCAGTGCCCCTGGCACGGAACATTGATTCCGAACTTTGCCTCATCGAACCGGGGGCGAGGCTTTCCCCTCTGGATCCACGGCATGGCGATGCATTTCCAACTCCTGTGATGCATTGCTCTGTGTGTAGCTAAGCATCTCTTCTCGCCGCTCCACCCCGCCCAGAGGCTCGGGCCAAGGACGCTGGTACGTGCGCACGCATGTCTGCCGCTATCCCATTTTCGCTATATCATTGATTTCACGCCATCAAACATCTGCCCCCCTCTCTCAGGCCGTGTTTGTCGCACTGAGAGAAGTACACCTGTCCCGTCCACGTCGTAGGCTGCCGAGACGTTTCCCATCACCCCTGAATCACACCCCCATCACACACGCACGGCGGAGAATCTCTTTGATATACACAATTTGCGAAGGATACATGCTAGCAGTACACCTAAAACACGTTCGCATTTCCTTCCTGACCGTCCACAAACTAGCGCAGATGGCACAGCAGAGCGATACACAGCAGGCCGTCCCGCCACGGCGGGACGCATAGATACAGTACAGTCCGAAAGCACATAGAAAATAAAGCAAAAGGGGGAGACGGCGCCCGGCACGCTACCACACCCGCCGCGCCTTGTCGTTGTACGTCGCAGGGCGCAGCGTCGTCGAAATGCGCCCGCTCAT